AAAAAAAAAAAAAAAGAAAGAAAAAAGAAAGAAACCTTGCTTCAGAATATTATATTTTTGTATTTAAAATTATGCCTGTAAAAATTTATGTATCAAACTTTCAGAAAGAAAAATGGGCAAAGAAGAGATCAATCAGAGGCTAGAATTCAGACCAGAGATAATGAGAAAATAAAGTAGAGCAAAATAACTAGGAAAGGAAAAGAGATATATTAGAAATATATTGTTTACAGATTACAAAAATCTGTGTATATTTAGGTAACAGACAGAACTACATTCATGCTGAAGCAAAAGCATTCCCCAACTAACTTGATGGTCACTGTTTTTAGTGAATAAAACTGTAAGCAAATGTGTACAAAAATAATACAATGTAAGAAAAATATAAATGTTATTGATGAATCATCTTAAAAATTCAAAATAAAATACGAAACACATTTCCCCAGTACCTGAGAGATCACTGCTTTCAATTCGTCGGAGATCTGAATCAGCCCAAAATAGTTTGCCCAACCTGCTATCAAGAGCTAAAGCAACTGGTTTACTTAAGCCACTGAAAAAGAGGACCTCTCGTTCTGTTCCATCTAAAGCAGCCCGTTCTATTTTGGGAGATCTTTCCTGAAGATTGGTAAAGTACATATACCTAAAGAGATAAGAAAAAACATTTACCAAAGTAATAAATAACATCAGAATATTTCTATTAATTAAGATAAATGGTAAGGGTAGACCTTAGAGGTAGCACATGTGCCTAGGAGGTACAAGACCCTGAGTCATCCCCAGCACAATTAAAAACCCAGTAATAAATGGATGTAAAACAATATTTTAAAATATCATTTTAGAGGCTTTAAATATATTTTATAATTTATTTTTAAAAGACCAAAGTTATTCATAGCAATGGGTCACATGTTTTAGTATGTACACATGATGTATCTACCTGTATCGCATCAAGCACTTATCCTCTTTACAGAGAAAACATCCCAAATCTTTTCTTCTAGCTTTTGAGATATACAAGACCAACTAGTATCTAAAATCATCCTAGTGACAACAGCAAATTAGAACTTATTTCTATCTAACTGTAACTTAGTACTCACTGATAATCAACTGTTTCCCATTCCTTCTACCCCCTTAAAAGTCTTTAAAAAAAAAAAAAAAGTCATGGGGTACTTCTATTGCTTTCAATAACAGTAACAAAGGATACACAATTCTTGGAGGAGCTTTCACAGATTAATACGTGTTAAGACAAAAACATATGTGCTTTCAGAGTAACACAATAAACTGCAAATCAATGGCCAAAAACTTGGACACAGAAATTTTAACTTCTCTTTTCTGATGAACCTATTTAATACTCAAAATTAAGCCATATGCCAGTCATTCCACATACTTAACTGATAGGTTTCATCCCTTTCCTACAACTAAACCACTCTCCCTGCTGAATTCTTTTTATCATTTATTCAGATGCAACTGATTACTGAATATTTATTAAATGCAAAGCTTTGTGGTAAAGTTTTTTTCACTTATATACCTTAGTTCTTGTTATAAAGGCTCTTGAGGTCTGATAAGAAATACACAAGTGAAAAATAGTTAAGTATAAGGCAGTCTGGAAAGGATTAAATGTGACCTAGAGGCACAGACACACCGCACCAAGAACACAGGAGAGGTAAGACTCCTCCAGGAGAAGAAAGAATCACACCTGGGTAGAGCTGGTGGCCAAGGAAAACTTAATGGAGGACGTGGCAGATAAAATGCTCCTGGAGGAATGCTGAGGTTTGGAACCAAACTAAGGAAGGAAATTCTAGGCATGAAATCAAGAGAAAGCAGAAGAAAGCTATAAGAAAATGCAGGTGCAGCACGTGAACGCAGAATATTGAGTTGTTCACTGGAGAATAAGCATGTAAAGGTAAGTGAATGATGGCCTGGAGTGAAGAGGAAGGTGGAGGCGGGTCTCAGATGCAACGGTATCTCAATGCCATGTGAGTCACAACATACCCCTTCTCTGGATTAACCACAATGGCTCGGGGTCGGTCTTGATCGCCTTTTAGCACCACTCCAATTGATCTCCCATCTAATCTTGTCACGTTAATGACATTGGTAGCCTCACAAGTCCAGTAGATATAGCGGCTATAAATATCAATGCTGAGGTCATAGGGTTGTATTTCTAGGTTCTGGTTTGGAACTGAGCTCACCACCACAGTAAAGCCCTAAGGGAAAAATAAAAGCATACAAAAAAGTTAAGACTCCACACTAGATGGCCTTGTGACAATCACCCAAAAGTGTATACCTATGTGCTCACATACCTCAGAAGGATCTTAAGTCTTTATAAGCATTTCTTACTGATACCTTCCATCCTTTTTTAGGAGATGGGAGGTGCACAGGCAGTACTGGGATTGCACCCAGAGCCTTTGAACTGAGCTACATTTCTAGCCCTTTTAGAACAGTATTTTGAGAGATAGTCATGGTCTCACAAAATTGTTCAGGCTGTAATCTAAACAGTCTGAGGTTAGGAAGATCACAATACTAATAATATATTTGTCTGTACTTCTTTGTCACTATGTGCTTCTTTGTCACTATGCATCTCAAATGTTTGCTGGGGTTATTATGACCTGGGGCAGAAGAGGGAGCAGAGAACAGATCAGTTGTTCCAAGACCCTAGTAATGCCTTCATTAGAGATGAGAGTGAAAAGGTGGCAGTTATGTCCTGTGAACTGTAGACAATTATGGCTACACCTAACCCTAGAAATACCTCTGTATCAGTACTTCTCAGCCAAAAGTGATTTTGTACCCCCAAATATTCAGCAATGTATGGAGACATTTTTCTCCCCAGTACTGGAGAATGAACCAAGGGCCTTTGCACTGCACTATATCGCAAGGTGCAGTTTACCTGACACAGAGTCTTGCTACATTTCCCAGGCTGGCCTCAAATTTTTAATCTCCTGCCTCAGCCTCACAGAATGCTGGGATTATAGGTATGTATCACCATGCCTGGTGTGGAGTCATTTTTGATTACCAGACTGAAAGTACTGATGGTATCTAATGGGCTGAAGCAAGGGATGCTGAATATGCTGTAATGCATAAGGCAAGCCCCTGATAAAAAGATTATCCAGCCTTAAAATGTCAACAGAGCAGCATCTAAGGAACCTTACTTTAGAAACACAACTACTCAGGGCTATAAACTACATCAACCATCTCTATCTCTCAACTTCAAATCCACTGACACAAAAAATTTTTAAGCATTTTCTTTTTACAAAGCCAAGCAAGAGAGAATATGTCCATCTGTTCCACCTGAATAAATCATATTTCACTTACTAGAACTCTAGGTAGCATATTTCTCAGTGGGGTCATTTATGGGCCATATCCTTGATTGTGTAACAGCTATAATTCCTCTACTATCAGCCATTAATGCAGACTTATGCATTATAAGATGCATCTGTAAACTATAACTATGACCACCGCCATATGATCCCTCAGCAGTCCTAAACTTACTGTCATCTTGCTCTTTATTGTAAGACAAAAAAAAAAAAAAATTAGTAATCTAAATTCCCTAAATTTAACACATTCAAAATCTAACAACATCGGGCCGGGGAGATGGCTCAGTGGAATAAGCGCTCCCCTGGCAAGCGCAAGGGCCTGAGTTCAATCCCCGGTTCTGCAAAAAAAAAAAAAAGAAAAAGAAAAAAAAAAATCTAACAACATCACTGCTATGAGAAAGATGACAAACATTCATTATAATCCTAGTCTAATGCTCCTTGGCCACAGGAAAAAAGCAAGAATGGACTGGTACATAGACATACATAAGACTCATTATCTTATGAGTTCCCACCCCAAATAATACTTACAAAAAAAATTACTAAATCAATAATTCTTAGATGCTTTTAATTCTACTGAGGATATAGCCAAGTGTGACAGCACACACCAACAATCCTTGGAAGGCTGAAGAAAGATGGCAAGTTCAAGCCTGGCCCAGCCAACTTAACAAGGCCCAATCTCAAAATAAAATATAAAAAAGGCTGGCACCAGGTGGTGACACCTATAATCCCAGCACTTGGAGGCCAAGGCAGGAAGACTGCTGTGAGTTCAAGGCCAGCCTAGACTACACAATAGCTCAGGTCTAGCCTGTCTTACATAATCACTGCAGCTTAAGAAACTAAAACCAAAACCAAACCAACAATAATAACAAAAGGCTGGGAGGGTAGCTCAATGCAAAGGCCCTAGTACTACCCCCTTCCCCATTTTTATTTAAATTGAAACTGTATTATATATTTCCTACCTTTAAACTTTGACATTATAGGCAACTGGTAATGTAGCTGTTATTAATTAACTCCCTACATTTAACAGGTAAGGGCAATGTACCCTGCATCTCACTGTGGTCTGAATTCCCTTCCATTCAAAAGTTCATAAAAAGCAACGTGCAAGCGCTAGCAGAACTGAGGCCTATTTAAACTCACTACTGTGGTTTTTTGGTTTTTGGGTTTTTTTTTTTTTTTTTGGCAGAACCAGGGACTGAACTCAGGCCCTTGCGCTTGCCAGGGAAGCGCTTATTCCACTGAGCCACCTCCCCGGCCCTTAACTTCACTACTTCTAACACTCCATACAAATGAAACTGTAGGAAGCAAAAGTACCTAAATGAATATAGATGGAGGCGGGTGAAAGTGACAAAGTCATTACCAGTAAGTTATCCTACTACAATTTCCACCCAATGCCATCATTGATTAATTGTTCACTCAGAGAAAAGATCATCAGTTAAAACAATTTCAGTCACACATACACAAGTGGAGCCTAACCATATAAGATGGCTGGATGGCTGATTAATCCAATAAGGAGTTAGAAGAAATGGGTCTTGAACTAGGCCTGGAATTACCTGGCTGCCATCTTCTTGTGCCTTTCGGATCATGTTTTGCCGTGAGTCAATCCAATAGAGTTGTTTGTCCAGCGGGTCATAATCAATGGCCCGAACATTCCGAAGGCTATGGATAGGAAGAATGATGTCAGGACTCTGTTGTTCATCAATCACCATGCGGTTGATGGCACTCTTTTGACTGAAGAGCAGGAAAGTGGTAGGAGCTTCAAGAAAGAAAAGAGTATGTCTAAAATATAGTTACTCTAAATCCCATTGAAAGATTTAATCTGTCTCTTGCATGTACCTTCTAGACACAGTAAAACTAAGGACAGAATCTTCTGGCACACTCCCAGACACATTCTTCAGAGTGACGTAAGTCAGTACTCTGGTTATCAAATCAGTTATGATATACCCAGTGTCAGAGCCATATTTTTCTCCATCTTGCACCAAGATACCACAGGAGACTTGGCTTCAATGAAGCACTTGATAAAGATACACAAAACTCTCCTCTTCGCTGAGATAATGGAACCTATTCCTCCTTAAACTATTCTTACGTATGGTGGGGAATAGGAATTCTGGGTTTACATGAGTCAAAGAAAAAACCTCAGATCTATTTTCAAGTTGTTTTCTCACTATCTAGTGATTTGACCTAGTCATTCTTTCTATCTAGATCAAAGTTTATCCAACTATAAAATGAAATAACCATCTTATCCCTCTCATTGAATTGCTGAAAGAATTTTAGTTATTTACTAAAAAAACTCTAAAAACAAGGCTTTGCCATTAAGCTGCATCCCTGACACCCAGCACTTCTTTTTTGACATAAGATCTTGCTAAATTGTGAAGGTTTGCTTGAACTGGTGATTCTTCTTCCTCAACCTCTAGAGTTGGGGTCAAAGGCATGGGCCACCACACCCAGCATTTTTTGCTTTGCATATATCTGATGGATACAGGGAGATAAAAGAGATTAAAATATCCAAAAAGTTACAAATGATTTACACCAGTGTTTCTCACCTTAAAAACAAATCTTGTATTTTCACTAAAAAAACAAACAAACTCTGATACTAAATTAATGTTCTCAACTCATGAAATGAGAAAAGGTATCAGAGACAGCACTCCTTCTCCCAGGAACTAGACCTCACATCATCACCTTTAATACTGGAAAACATCTAGCACAGAATTGCACTTGAGAGTGCTACCAGCCACTGCAAAGTCAATAGTCAATACAGTTATATTCCATGAGGTATATACACTCTAAGATTCCCAGCAGATATCTAAAATGCTGGGTGGTACTTATTCCACTATAAATACTACGTTTTTTCCTATATACCCATAATAAATCTGACTTACAAATCTGGCCCAGTATTGATAACAATCACAAAAAATAAAATAGAATAATAATAATACTATAATAAAATGGCCAGCATCACTACTCTTGTGCTTTGAGGCTATAACTAAGTAAAATAAACACTACCTGACTAGAAGCACTGAGACACCATGATAGCTGATCTGATATCAGAGGCAGGTATTAAGCAACTCACAGGTAGGTGGCATAAACAGGATGATTATGCTGTACAAATGGATAACTCATATAAGGGGCAGATTTCATCATGCTACGCAGAACTACATGCAATTTAAAACTTACAAATTATTTCTGGAAATTTCTATTATTTCAAGATAGTAACTAACTGTAGGTACAGTAAGTAACTGAATTCATGGAATGTTAAATCAGATAAAGGGATACTCTGGATACTCAGTCATCATCTAAATTCAGTAGCTTAAATCTCAAAAGATACTGGCATTTATGACACTGAAATTTGTACTTTCCAGAGCTCACACTCAGCTTGGAATAATAACAAGCAATACCCCAATAGTCTATTAGAAATCTCTATTATCCATCACATATTGATTTAATAACTTTCGACAATTTCAGTATTAAAGCCTCTCACCATTTCCTAAAGAATAGTTTTCGGCAGTACTACTTCTCAGTAGAAAGAGACAGAACTTTAAATTCTAAGTTTCCAACAGAATAAGCACCACTCATATTATACATACAATGAGGCTTAGAGGCAAGATATCCAGTGTTTGTTTTCTCCAGTGCTAAGAACTGAATCCTGGACCTTTGCATTTAAAGACAAACACTCTACCCCTAAGATATATAGATATAGATATAGATATAGATATAGATATAGATATAGATATAGATATAGATATAGACATACAGCCTGATCACTCTGAAGTTTTAGTTCCTAAATTTTCCTGTCTGGCCAGCTGCTGATTTCTGTAACACAATGTTACTGGAATTCAGTGGCCCCCATTTAAAAACCATTGTCTATGGTGATTTCATGCTACAACAGAATAGCAGACAAAACTGAGTAGGTTTCAGAACCTACACATCTACAGAGCTTAAAACAGTCTGATCCTTCACAGAAAAAGTCTGATGGGCCTTCCACTACTTTCTCCTTAGGTAATCTTACTCATTTTAAATACATCAAGGCAATTCCCAGATGTGCACTTCCTATCTCAACTCTTTCCTCTGATAGCCTATCTACTATGACAACTAATCTGTAAGTCATCTTTGCTTCTTTTTCTCCACATGGAGCCCAATACTAAGTTCTATTCATTCTAGCTCCAAGCATCAAGTCCATTAGCATCTATCACTGCTACCACAACCACAGCCCAAGCTTACTTATATAGCCTCACTAGTCTTTCCCTCCCCTTTATCTCTTCTTTCCAACAATCAGCTCAAACGCCTTAATCTTTATAACAACCCTATAGTTACTATTATTATTGTTTTTAAATCAGAGAAATTAAATCAAAAATTTGATTTGCATTTCATTTCAAAGGCCAAAGTTGACAGTTTTTAACATACTCATTAGTCATCTGTACTTCTCTTCAGAAGTATCTATTCATTTCAATTCCATAAATGACTGGGTCCTTCATTTTTGTGGTCTACTTTTCTTTTTAATTTTCTATATACCTATGTATTCTAGGTATTAGTTCTCTGCAGAGTAGCTGGAAAAAAAAATCCTATTCTGTACACTGTCTCTTAATTCTGTTGGTTGTTTTTTCCACTGCTCACAAGTTTTCAACCCTGATTTAACCTTGTTTGTTGATTCTTAGGGTATTGGTATTTACGCAGCTGGGCTTCTGCACAGTAAGCCCTTTTCTATGCCTTTGTCTTGAAGAGCTTTACCAATTTTACCTTCTAGCTCACTCCAATAAGAAGGCTATCACCAAGAATTCAAAATAACATGCTGGCAAGTTTGTGGGGGAAAAGGAACCCTTCTATATTGCTGGTGGGAATATATACTAGTACAATCACTACAGAAATCCATATAAAGATTTCTCAAAAACCTTGAAGTAGAAATTACATTTAGCTCAGCAATATTCCTCATGCTTATCTTCCAAAATAAAGTCATCCTATTACGTAAAGTAGTATGTCTACATAACTGATAGTAATTAAATTATGGAAGTGGCTTGTATGCTCATCAACAAATGAAGAAAATGTGGCATATATACATGAAGGAGTTAGCCATAAAAAACAGGTGTATCTTGAGACTATAATTCTAACTGAAATAAACTTGGAGAAGGCTAAACAGCACAGGATTTCTCCTAGATGAGAAGCTCAAAGTATATATAATTTTAAAAACCAAAATAAAAGAGATGTTAGGAAACAGGGAAGGAAACTATGGCGATGGGAAGAGGATGTAGGGAAAGGGGGAGGGGGAGGGCAGGACGGGGGAGGGTAAAAAATGATCAGGAAGCACTATGTACATATATTAATACAACAAGATGATTCTATAATTACTACATACTTCAAATATATAGCAAAAAGAAACTAAAAATTTTATGTTGCTTGCATAAAGCAAAAAATTAATGTGTTGCATCCTCTAAAATGTCACTTAATCATTACACAGTATGAATGCTCTCTTTCACAACTGAAGCCAGTCTTAGAATAGACTAAACCCTTTCCTGTCCCATTTCTGACACATTCTTTCCTGAGGCACAGAACAAAACGTTGGTGACTGCTGCAATGTCCTCCTACAAACCTGCTACATCCTCCACACTGGCCCATACTCTGTGTCTTCTCTCTTATTGTTTCTTCATTACACCTACCAATTTGTTCTTGTCTAACCATCAAAGCAAAGATTTTCATACATACTTAATCACATGCCAGGCTTCCCCGAGCTAAAAATGTTCTTTTACATACTGTTTGTTCGCAATGTATGTGTGAGTTTAATGTGAATTACTTATCAACATTTAAAATAAAAGGATACTGTAGACAAAAACAAACCTTGTTCCATGCCTGGATGAGAGTATCTGGTCACATCAGTAGGACTTAAGTAGCACCACCTACTATGTTCAGACACACATTATGCAGTTCACTATCTATGACTAGTATTTATTACAGAGTAAACTTTTTCAGGTGCATTTTCTCTTTGCCTTATATACAATTAAATTTTTTCTGCTTGTCTCTATGCATTTTAAATGACAGGAGGTTACATTTACAGGTTCTTTTTGTTGTATGTTTTGTACTGCTCTTCTTTTCCTAATGAATAAATATGAACTATGTGTAACACATGAATGATTCCTCACCTCCACATTTAATCCCCACGGGTAAAAAGTCTTAACTTTTCTGTATCATGTTGCTGCTATAAGTAAGTGACAAAGCCTGGAATGTCCCCCACCACGTGGCCCTCTTCTTTTAGCTATACAAATGGTCAATTCTGAATTTCTAATTTTACTCTAGAAAAAATATAAATTAAAGTACTATCAAAACATGTTTTCTCTTCCAATTCTGGCCTGCTGCTGGGGAAATGCAGCTTACCACTACAAGTCCTGTTGTCAGCATTCAGGGAGTAGTGAGCAGGGCACCCACAAACAAAACCTCCAACTGGCACTGCCAGGCAGAGGTGGGAGCAGTGTCCATTGCTAGAAGCACACTCGTTCCACCCTGCCTGCCGCGAGGAGTGGAAGACGAGGATGTCCATCACATAATCCAAATGGCCCTGAATGATAGTGCGGTTCTGGCCACTGGTTTTGTTGGCTCGTTCAATACTGCGTCGGCTCCAGTCAGTCCAGTAGATGTAATCTTGGTATTGAGTTAAGCCAAAAGGATGAGGCAAGTCATCTGCTATAACTTCACGGTTGAGTCCTATTTCCAGAAAAGTAGTAGACAAGGCAGAAGCACAGAGATGAAATATGTGAAATACAAGTGTCTTAATGGCCAAAATATCTGTAGTATATAAAATATATTGGTAAACAATTTAAAACAGAATAATTCATTTAAAAGCAATTCTAAAACCAGACCACTGCTCTGAAATCGAGCCATCTGCAGTCTGACCCCATGCCTCAAACTCATATTCCTTCTATAAATCACTGAGTTTGTTTAAACCCTTAAGAATGGTCTCTTTTGATTGTGATTTTATTTTCTCTATATAAGGGCCTACACATCAAAACTTCTTCCTTCCACAACTTTTTTTGGTATAAAAACACAATTACTTTAGGAATGTCAAGGGAATTATGTCATTATAAACCCCCCCAGAATGAAATTTGTGCACACTTAAATGGCATAGTCCAAGTAACTGAACAGCTACTAGTAACATAAATGATGTAACTCCATAATGGAAAGAAACTAGATATTCATATGGTTACATTAATAGTATGTAACTAATGATAAACAGCAGTCACTGATTTCCATATAAAGAATATATTATCTGAATAAAAATGAGTAAAACTTACCAAGCATATTGGAGGATTCTATTAAGTTGGTGTCCAGGTCTGTCCAATAAAGCCTTCTTTTAGCATAATCAATAGTCAGGCCATTTGCCCGCCCCACATTTGGAACCAATGTAGTTCGTTCACTTCCATCCATAGCTGCTCTGTCTATCTTGGGTTTGCCACCCCATTCAGTCCAATACATAAATCTGAATTCAAAACAATGGATATTTAACATTTTCCTTTGGTTTTCTGGGGGGAAAGGGTTATATTCATTCACAGTAACTAAATAAATGCAAAGAAAATACACAGTAAATCAAGCACATGGCAAAAACATCATGGTCACAGTTTTTTCAATTACTTTGACACATTCAACTACCTATATTTTTTCACATTTCATATAGGAGTCAGCTTTCTTTGATTTTTCCAATGAACTTGCTCCATACAAACCCAGGAACCTGAAATAAACCAATGGCTTATTGCAGAACTGCCATTCATTAAACTAATATTCACATAAACAGCAAAGGATTAAAGCTCTGGGCTAAGGATCTCTCAGAGGGCTGGAGAAATAGCTCAGTGGTATAAGCACCTGCCTGGGGGGTGAGAGGGGGGAATCTCTTAAGACTCTTCTGACTAAAATGCAAGTAACTTAAATTTCTAAAATGCTGAACTTATTTTTCAACTTGTAAAAACTACAGGAACATATTAAATGTAAAAATAAACTGAGCTTTTACAAGAGTAAAGTGGAGAACAAAGCCAAAAAGGTATCTGAACATAGGGTCCAGGAGAATGCACTAAAAGAATCAGAACAATGAATCACCCTTGAGGTGCCAGCAGGGTAATGATCGCTACTACTATGACCCCTGTGAGACTTAAGAAATTCTTCTGTTTTTATTTTTCTAAATCATTCCCTTTACTCTCTAGAGCTATCTAACCATTTTTGAAAGATGGAAAGACCAAAGAAAGAAATTTATCTGTCACGTGTTTCTAAACCATTTACATGGCAGAGTTAGAACTAGAATCTAATTCTTAGCCAAATGTCTTTCCAACTAAACTAGTAAGATACTAACTTTCAAACTGAATACTGATACTTAGAAAACACTCCACATGCCAGCTCCAACAAAATAACTGAGAACAGACATTTACACAACAGCCCGTCAGCTGATGGGTGACTGGGTAACAACATATGAACATGGTCTTTTGAAAATTAAAGTTCTTCTAGGCTTTATTTGCATTTGCACATGCCAGTTGACAAGCACATGTACACCATAAGAGCCAAAGAGAAACAACTGTGAGAGAAACTTTATACTTGCCAGTAGTAATGTGTACTAGAGTCCTTAGTCCAACTACTAAATTTATCTGACAACTAATGCTCAGAGCAAAGATTACCATAATCCCACAACAATGTATCAGCACCCCAAAGCTGTCTTTGTAATGGCCTTTTTAACTAGATGGACAACCAGGGAATCATGGAATTCATTCACAGATTTTAGGGAAAACTTTTAAATTACAGATATGGCAAATTTATTCACAGTTAACTTCTTTAAAAGTAGATTTTTTTCTTCAAATTTCAGATGTCTCAGCAACCTCATAGAAAACATGTTGATTCTTTTGAGATCACCTTGCCCTAAAAAATGTATCCTGCTACAAAGTTTTGTCTATCTAATAATCTAAAGACTCTCCAAGTTTATAATGATGAAACTATCCATTTTGAATTGATGGATATTCTAAAATGGAACTTTTGTGTATGAAGAGCAGAGGCCCCAATCCTCAGCACCCCCAAATAAATGAATACATCGATGAATTAATTAAAACTAAAATGAGAGCTTTTCCTAGGAAAATGGATGCACCTTGAAACCACACTTTAAGTGAAATAAGTCAAGCACACACATAAATACTGCATTGTTTTGTTGGTATGAAAACCAAAAGTTGGGGCTGGTGAGATGGCTCAGTGGTCTAAAGCACCTACTTAGAACAAGCTAAGCAAAACACAGGGACCTCAATTCAATCCCCCAGCACCACATGCCAGCCAGCTCCGCCCCCTGGTGGGCTGAGCTGGCCACACACACACACACACACACACACACACAAATAAATTTAAAAAAAAAAAAAAAAAAAAAAAAAAAAAAAAAAAAAAAAAAAAAAAAAAAAAAAAAAAAAAAAAAAAAAAAAAGAAGAAACAAAAAAAAAAGAAAACCAAAAGTGTAAATAAAGATCAAAATGTACATTAGGTATTGTGAAAAGGAAAAGTTTTACTTTTTAATTTAATTTTTTATTTTTTGGTGGTACCAGGGATCAAACTCAGGCCCTTGCACTCATCACGCAAGCATTCATTCCACTGAGCTGTCTCCCCAGCCGGAGAAAAGGAAAAGTTGAAATGCAGAAAGGAACAAAGGAGAGGGGAGGGGAAGGGAAGGAAGGAAAAAGTAAAAGTGAGGAAAGAAGGAAAAAATGGAACCAGGGCTTTTGTAAGTAGGGAGAAGAAGGGTTCAAAGGAGGCTAGGGAAATCAGAAAAAAATTAAGTTACACCATGCACAGGTATAAATTCTCTATGATGAATGTGATCATTAAGTATATCTAAAATATACCAATAAAATCTGATTGGAAAAGATAAAATAGAAAATAAATTTTTAAAAAATGAGAGCTTTATAAAATGTATAGTAGCCTCCTCTTATCCATGGGAGATATACTCCAAGACCCTCAGTAGATGCCTGAAAAGATGAAAGTACTACATCCTAGTTTTTTTCCCCTATACATATTTATGATAATGTTGACAGATATAGCCTTGACCCAGTAACAGATTAACAACTAAAAACAGAAAAAATTTAACATACTATAATAAAGGTTATTTAAAATTTATGCATTATTTCTGGAAATGTTCATTTAATATTTTTAGACCATATGTAACTGAAACTGCGGATTAGGGGAACTAGTATTTTTTAGCATACAATACTGTTTCAGCAGGTTTTTCACAACAGATCTGGAACCCAGTGCAACTAGGGAGGATGCAAGTAAATACAGGGTGAAGGTACCTTTTCAAAGTGCTTATGTGTTTGCTTAATGTGGGTGAGGCCCTGAGCTTAGTTCCAAGTACTGCCAAAACAAACAAAAACAGCTGCTCACTTAGTATATAAATGCTAATCAGTATTATTTGATTATGAATCCATTTCAGTCTTAACCTAGTGTTAATAATTATAAAAACAAAATTTAGCCAGGCTCAGCTGCATACACCAATAATTCCAGAACTAGGGAGGCAGGAGGACTGCCAAGTTCAAGTCCAGTCTGACATACTGTATATAGTAAGACCTTTTCTCAAAAAATAGGGGTGGGGGTGTAAAATGTAGCCAATAATGTTTTGTTTTGTTTTTTTAGTACAGGGTCTACAGGGTCTCACTATGTAGATCAGACTCGTCGTGATTCTCCCATTTTCAGCATCCCAAGCATTGGGATTACAGGCAGGTGCCACCATGCCCAGTCTCATTTGCCTTCTCAACACGCCCCAGGGGCGGGGCTGGCACAACAGGCCAGGGATCAAACGTGGGGATCGAACCTGGCTGTTGCGCTCTGCTTAAGCAGGCGCTTTAGTCCACTGAGCTATTTGGCTAGCCACTAATAATGAATATTAATCAATGAAATCTCAAATAACTTGTTAAGATTATTTACAAGAAGCATTTAACACATCAAGAATATAATCTATAACCAGGCCATGTTCCTCATAATGTACAATGTACTTGTAAAGAATGCATACATGAAAGTATTTACCCTTCAGCAGGGTCCAAGGCTAGAGCTCTGGGGCTATCTAGATCTTTCCAAACCAAAACTTGCCGGTGTTGTCCATCCAACTTTGACACTTCAATTCGATTTGTTCCTGTGTCAGCCCAGTATAAGTTCTTCCCAAGCCAGTCCACTGCCATGCCTTCTGGGTAATCTAAGCCAAATTCCACCACATGTTCCAGTGCACTGCCATTCATAAAAGCTCTACTGATAGTCTGCAAGAACAAAATTCAGAACTAAGTCACATGATTTATGTACAAAATACTGAGCACAAAGAAGGTTTGTTCTGGTTTTTGCTGAGGGTAGAAAGATGAGGAAATGTCAAGAGGCATACTATTTTCTAATAAAATTTAGTTTCATGTCACAGAAAAATTTTATGTCGATCTCTAATAAAGGCAATTGTTTTACTGCCACTTCGGAGAGAGAATTTTGAAACTCTTTAGAACCAAAAATGTATTCCACTAAGACAGCAGGTAGAAATTTTTAAAAATCTGCTAGTAATGGAAGAAAAAGATATGATCAGAATGCTGTAGAATCCTGACTTGTTGCCAACCTTGAAGACGTCTGAAGAAAATATCAAATCACTGTAAAATGAGAAGAACTCAACATCATATTTCATACAATGAATATAACTTTGTTGTATTACTTTAACTATAGCCTTTAATTTCATAAAACTTAAAAAAATCAAGCAAATAATAACAGGTGCTATTACTATCAAAACATCTTATTAAGTACTGCCCCAAATAATCTATGTCCAGAGATTTTTCTCATTTAGTACAATAGCCCTGCAAGACAGGCACTATCTCTATTTTAAAATGAGAAAACTTAGAAAACCATCCAATAAAAGCCAAGACTTGTTTCATTTATTCACTCAATAGATTTTACTGAACATCATCACAATTCAACAATGCCTGGCTCCAACATCGCACATTTTTTGCAAATTAGACCAAAGTTTACATAACTTATCTGAACAAACCCACAATAATCTGGAAGAAGACCCAGATTTTCTGGTCAGCCATGCAGTTTTCTTTCTATCCCAATATGCTTCTCAATATTTATTCTAGAAAGAAGAAAATAAACTATACCTCATAATTGGCATGTCATACCTCAGTCAAAACTTGAAAAGTTTAAGATACCACATCAAGTCACTCAATGTGACATATACAATGTTTACTCAGGAAGTTAAAGAAAATGCCATTTGTTATCTTCGAATATAACACAGTTGGAAAAGAGTGTATCATGCAGATTTAAAATACTTTAATGAAGTATCTTTTATAAAAAGGTATCTTACAAAATTTTGAATGGGCCTTCCCTTTCATTTCCTTTAAAAACTTAAGGACTTTTCTTGAATTTTGCCTATCAAGCAATAAGAGGGGTGGGTGATAGCATGAAGATTAAGAAATCCAAATCTTTACTTTTTTTCTTTTTTTTTTTTGTATTTAGTACAGGGTCTACTGGGTCTCACTACATAGATGGGATTTGCAGTGATTCTCCTGTTTTCAGCCTCTCAAGCGCTGGGATTACACATGTGTGCCACCACACCCAGGTGGTCTCAATCTCTGGCTCAGCACACCCTGGGGGCAGGGCCTGCACTCCATGTCCAGGATTGAATCCTGGCCACTGCACTCTGCCTAAGCAGGCACTTTAGTCTGCTGAATTATCTGGTCAGCCCAAATCTTTTTTTTTTTTTTTTTTTTTTTGTTAATTAATCCTCAGTTTAAATACTCCAATCTTTTGCTAACCTTAAGTGATATATCGGTCCAATAAATTCGATTGTCTGTTACATCAAAATCCAAAGCAGAAGCTTCTTTGACACCAGTCAGTGGAATGGCCACATTGTTATTGTTTGTTTCCAAAGAAATTCGTCTGATATCTGCTCTCCGTGAAAACAAAAGGAAAGCCTCTGGGACAATGCAGGTCTTCATGTCACTAATGAGTTCAAAGCCAATGGGGCATGCACAGCGAAGGCCCTGGGGTCTATAGAGGCAAAGATGGCTACATCCCCCATTTTCCTCAGCACAAGGGTTGGAACCTATAAGACAAATCAGTTTATAAAAAGGGTAAAGGACTCACATGTTGACATAATCAACTTAAATTGGTACACACTGATTCATAAAAGACCTATGGTTACATTGTTCCTAATCTAGTGTTTCAATTCTATTTCCAGAAATAAACAATGAGGATTAACAACAAACCGATATGGAAAACACTTTCCTTCATATCCACAAGTCAGCTTTTATTATTTTTTTCCATAATTTTATTGAGAAACAAATAGCAATGACAAGTCAGCTTTAAAATAAAGTGCATTATTCAACATGACTGAATTCTTCTGACAAAGGTATGCAAGTGCTTATGCATGCACAGCCAAGCTTCTAGCGCAATAGTAAGCCTACCTAAGAGTTAACAATGATCTCTATATTGTCTCAAACATAAATATATTGCCCTTTTACAAACTATTGGTTCTCTTCCATTTTTTGGGGGGGGGGCAGCTTCATTTTTATTTCTAAGAGATACAAGATTTTTTTTTTTTTTTCTTTTTGGTACCAGGGATCAAACTCAGGGCCTTGTGCTTGACAGGCAGGTGCTATATGCCACTGAGCTAACTCCCTGGCCAAGATCTGAGAATTTCTTACCAATGACTCGATGAACATTAGTGGCCTTTAGCCCCATGAGGTCAGGCAGCTGATCTATGATGATCTCCCTCTCTGCACTTCGTTTGTGTACTCTTTCGATGCTGCGCCTCTGCCAGTCAGTCCAGTACACATAGTCGCCCAACAAAGTAAACCCAAATATGTGAGGGATTTTGTCTTCTACTAGTACTCGTCTTTCAGTGCCATCAGTATTCATAACCTTCAAGTTTAGATTTGAAAAGAAAGAGGGTGAGTGAGGTAGGTAATTATCCTTCAAATACATTTAAAGACCACAAACCATACTGCCTATGGCATCAAAATCCAAGAGCCACCTTAGTTATTATTACTACAATACTTCCACAAAACTATAACACAATGACTTAAAGAGAATTTCAAATATATGGAGTAAGTTCGTTTTTACCTCTTTTCCTCCAATCTCCTATTACTTGTCCTTCTAAAAATTCTGGTAACTTTAGATGTGATGTGGAACTCTATTAAATGACTATCAAAATTAAAAATATCATCATCTTAGGTTTAGGCATTTGTTTTAAAATGGTAATATACCTTAATCTATGTCATTTCATCACATATGTCCTTTTACAACTTATTTTATTTTTTCCTTAGAGTTTTGCCTTTTTTCATATCTAAAGAAACAGAGATTCAAATGAAGCCATACAGCTTATAAACACTTGACTTTTTTAAGAATTCTTTCCACTTAGCATGTTTTTTTCTATTCTATTATTAAAACTGTCAAAAATTATGAACAGATAAAAGAAGCCTCAAAAAAAATTCATCACTCCTTGAAGTTAGTATCATAAAAGTACTACATTTCTGACACTTT